AGATCTGTTTGTTCCCTAGGCTTTCTTAACCTCATTATCTCACTCCAAAATTTTTTCTTATTCTCAGCTAAATTTACTGACAACACCTCGCCCACTATGTCATTTGCTCTCCTTTTGCACTCCCTCACCTCTCTCTTCACCTCTCTGTTGCTCTTCATATACTCCTCTTTCCTCCCGCACTCACCCTTTTATAGCCACAAACTTTTGCCCCGCATTCTAACACTGCATTTTTATAACTATCCCACCCCTCTTCAACCCCCACACTACCTATACTCTCACTAGCCCACCTTTTTCCCAGTAGTTGCTTGTATCTCACCCTAACTTCCTCCTTCCTTAGTTTATAAACTTTCACCTTTCTCTTACTTGCTGTTGCCATTTTATTTTTGCCCCATCTACCTCTTACTCTATAGCTATAACTAAATAATGATCTGATATATCTGTTGAACCTCTATAAACATGCACATCCTCAAGTCTACCCATCAACCTTTTATCCACCAGTACATAATCTAACAAACTACTTTCATTACGTGTTTTATCTTGAATACTTATTTATCTTCTTGTTCTTAAAATGTGTAATACTTATTACCAAACCTCTTTCAATACATAGTTCAGTTAAAAACAAATGCAAATATATATTCATAAAATGTTCCAGTGGGCAAAGAAATATAAGATAAAGTTTAACATTGACAATTTACAACAACATTGATATGGAAAGATTGATAGACTTAATACGAGCAGAAGCTACAAAACGCGGACTAACCTTCTAACAAAACGAAAGGAACACGTGACTAATACTGAGCTAGAAGAGTTATTATATAGAAAAACAGCAACTGAACAAAAACCAGGAAAATGATAGGATGGAATATATAGACTTAAAAAGAAAAGACAGCAGTGATGTTACTATTCAAATAAGATTTTAAATATCAGAGATAAAATTGTACAATGATCGTTTACTGCCCACATATAATAAAAATTACCGGAGTGAGAAATATGGTAGGAAATATAGTACATATACCCAACGTAAAGTAATAAAGCCATAAACATAGAGAAATATATGTATCATCATGCGAAACCTTCAATAATTCAGCCATTTTCCATCAGATGTCAGAAATATAGATGAAATGAAGGTAGAAGTTTACAAGAGAAAATTGGACTCATATCTCTAAGAAGTGTCAAATCAGTCAGGATGTGATGTTATGTGGACCTCTGGGCTACCTAGAAGAAACATTCTGGTTGAACAGTTATTAATTAATAAGGAAGCCTGACCTTAATTTGTCCTACGAAAGTAGAACCTTAGGAACCGGTCCCAGATATATTACATAAATAGTGCAGTTCATATATAGAATATTTTGATTTCTAGTTCTCTGTAATTTCAGCACAAATATGAATAGCTTTTTACCACATCTTTGTTATACACTACAGTAAGTCCTCATTTAACGTTGATAGGTTTTTGGAAACTACGATTTTAAGTGAAACTACGTATAACGAACCCAATTTTACCATAGGGTAATTGATATAAACATCAGAGGTGCACAGTGCACTTTTCAGCACTCATTGCAACAAGGTTAAATCGAGGATTAAATGTCTGCAAAGCAAAACTTTTAAGGAGCATCTGCCACCACGCAGTTTAAAATCAATAACAAATATGGAGGACTCGCTGAGCACTTTCGTACCGAATCGTTTATTTTCGTGCATTGGTTTGATTATCGTATACTTTATGAATTTTTATTTTACAATAATTTGTATTCATTCGATTTATTTTCTCAGCGTTATAACGAAACGACGTTGAATGAAACGACATTATTCGAGGATGCTGTACTTCAAGGAATAGTCTCCTTTTACAGGAAAATTCTGGAAAACTCCTGGAGGATATGAAATGTAAGGCTTAGGGTTCTTAACATTCCTTGGTTGTATTCGATATTTCTCAGATGGTCAGGTAATTCCTTGCCAATTTCAACAACTGACAGAAAGTCATAAGTTGCAGAACAAGCTTTTATTGGGACAACTTTTTGCTCTACACAGATTGAAACGTTGTCCCAATAAAGTTTGTTCTGCAGTGTGTGCTTTTTATTCACTGTAGTCGGCAGTACGACATTTGAATCCAATTTAAATCAGATGTATAAAAAAAACAACGAGGCTAATGTTTTTAACTTTGATTTATAGTCTCTCTATTACGTCTCTTGAATCTTTAAAATACAAATAGACTCCAGATTGTCAGCAAAGTCGAGTTGCTCCTTATCTCGGGTCAGGTGCCGTCAGTGTTTGCTTTTGCCTCAGATTATTATATTCTCACAAACACCATCACTCTCCCAGATGAGAATACCTTCATGCTCATTGATTGCTGGACGTGACTGGTCTGAACAGTAGAGCAATATTTTATGCTAATAATGTCAACTAGGTTTGTAACAGTTGTATTATGAACTCTGTAGGTATAGAGATTATTATTATTGTTACTGTAACTGTATCGACCCCCTCCCCCCCCCCCACACACACACAAGAA